TTTGGATGTGCATAGGGATTTGAGTCTTAGAAGATCCCATTCATCTATGTTATCTTCTCCTGGTTGTAGGTTTTCCAGGATACTGGGAAGACTGTAAATATATTTTAAGATTATAAAATAGGCTTTTGAAATTTTTGTTTTTTAAAAATTTTATTCACTTTGTTATTATTGAGAATATCAGACAGTAAAAGTTGCTATTTCAATAGTTTCTAAGGGTACAATTCAGTGATATTGATAAAATTTTCATTGATTCTTAGCCTTCTCTTCTGAGTTGTTCCTCCCCAATTAGCATGAATTCCTTATGCCCTACGAGTCAGATCTAATTTTTAGAGTTATGTTGTAAGTTTGATCCCACGTAGAGAATCTTGAAATAGTACAATAATTTCTTACCAGTTAATGGAAACTAATTCTTGGTTTTAAGACTTAAGGGGATATTTTTATTTAAGATTTAAAATTATCTTGGGCTTAAAAATGATTTGTCTGGAGTCAATGAGGATTTGGAATTTTGTTTTGCATTCCCTTCCCTTTAACCAGGATTCTCTACTTTAGAATCTTTGATCAAAATATCCAGTAATGATGGCCAGGTACTAGTTCTTATCTCATTGAAAGGAGGTAGTAGTTCATGGAGGTGTTTACTCACACGTTCCATTTCCTCCTCCTAGTCCTCTCTCTCTTGGATGATAGTTTTCAAGCTTTTAAGATCGCAGGAACTAGATCTTAGAAACTAGGAACTAGAAATTAGGAACTTAGGAACTAGAAAGTAGAACAGAAGCACTAACCTGTTCATTAAGGCAATGAATTGGGATGTCCCCTGAAACTATGACCCTGAACCTCCAAACAAGACACCTGAATCCCATGTGAGACTTGCTTCTAATTAAGCAGCCTCAGCAGTGTCTATCTCTGCCTCCCTTTGTCTGTGTTGTTGTATTTCTACTATCCAACTTTTGCCAGAAGGACATCATGCTTGGGAGGGTGGAAGGACAGCACAGGAGAGGAAGACCCTCGATGAGGTGGATTGATGCAGTGACTGGGGTAATCGGGGTGAGTGTCGGAGACGGTGCACAGGACAGAGCAGGGTTTAGGGATGTTGTACATAGGGTCGCTATGAGTGGCAAGTGACTCGATGGCACATAACAACAACAATCCCAGTAGTCAGCTGTGCAATTCCACCCTTCTGCCCTCAGTGAGATTTCTGCCTTTACCTCTTAACTCCTTCCATGATCTTCTTCTTTACATTGCTAAGTAGTTTGAAATATTTTCCCATGGCTTTATTATTTCAACAATTCCATAGTATTTTACCTCATGAATAACACTTATTAAAAATTTCAGAGATGCTTTCTGTGTTTTGTTGTTGGAAATAACACTAAACAATGTTTTTACTAATTATCTCCTTGTATAAATTTATAATTTTATTTGTTTACTTGGTGTTTTGTTTGGTTTTTCCTTAGAACGCAGTCTTTGCAGTCAAATTACTTGGTTAAAATGTATGCAGAATTTCTCAGTCATTGACCAGCTAGCTCATCAGAGCTCCTATTCAGTAGTGTTGGAATAATGTAAATATTGTAAAGTTGGGGTCCACACTGGATTCTGTTCGTTCCTGAACACATACTAGACACTCTACCTAGACAGCAAGGCAGCATGTGTATTTTATAAAACATTGGTCGTGTTCTTCTTTAATCTTTGTTGTATCAAATTTTTCAAGGGTTGGATTTCACTCTTCTGAGACATGAAGAAATGACTTTTCCAGTTGTTCATAATAATAACTTCATAAGTCTAAAACATTTTAAGTTCTTGGATATGGCTTTATCATTTCTGAGCTAGAAAGAACTTTGTAGATCACCAAATCTGATGCCGTCACTTTACATTCAACATACTTCATAAAAAATATGAAAAGTTCTGGTGTATTTTACAATTTGAAATAGAAAGTTAAGTGTCTTAATGTTTTTATACAAATAGACTATTTTTTAGGTATAGTGGGGCACTCATGTAGTCAAAAATTTAAAGCTCTTATTCAGTCTTTTGTAATCCATTGAAATTAAAATTGACAATCATTTTAAGAAAATAGATGTTTAGTCATAATTTTAGCCAGTGCTCTCCAGTATTGAGAATAAGTCAGATGCATTTGCAGTGAAATCCAGCTCTGCCCCATCAAACTGATTTTTCCGGTGGCTGCATTATTCTGTGTAACCTGTTTGTGTTTAATTTTTTTTAGGTAGCAGTTTTACAACGTCATCGGGATTATATACAGGAAATAATTCTCTGACAAATTCCTCTGGTTTTAACAGTTCACAGCAGGTAATTTAAAGCGAAATTAACTTTTGAAATGTTTTCAAATGCAAGAGATAACTTTCCTTTATTTTAAAAAAGTGTGTTTATTTTATACCATAAGTGAGCATGTTCTTAAACTGTTTAATAATGGGCTTTCCATCCTTCTTCCCTTAAAAATATCCTTAGCACAGTCTTTTATAGTTATATATTTGGTTTTCAATTGGATTTAATTGTACCTAGTAATATATGATGGAACAGAAGAAATATGATAAATATTTCTAAGTCTTCCAAAAACTTTTTAAGTCTGAGTGTTTCAGGCATGGAAATATTTTACTTCTGTGCCTTCCTGGATGAATTTGGAGAGGACGCAGAAACAGATATGTTTGCAGTTTTACTTTAAAACATAAGAAATAGGTAGCAGTTTCTGACATATCTCTGTGATTTGCTTTGGTAGGATTATCCATCGTACCCCAGTTTCGGCCAAGGTCAATATGCACAGTATTATAACAGCTCACCGTACCCATCACATTATATGACAAGCAGTAATACCAGCCCCACAACGCCATCCACAAATGCTACTTACCAGCTTCAAGAACCACCATCTGGCATCACCAGCCAGGCCGTCACGGATCCCACAGCAGGTAAACATTTGCATTTTATTAGTCCTACCGGCTCTATTCCTGGTGGTTTAAATGCATTCTTCTGTCGTCATATATTTGTGCAGTGGTTGCAGTTTGGACAAGACCTAAAGATATATGTCTAGCAGCACATTAGTGTGACATCAATTTAATTTTCACTGTTGTTTAAAAATTTTCAGTGTAACTATGTAAACTTCAAGAGTACAGCCATTGGCTAGTTGATTTATAAATATATCCATTTTCAACATGTATGCTGCTTTTTAGATGCATAATTAATTATATATACTCAGCTATAATTATTTATCATCCTAATGAATCATAACTGACTGGTACCAAACACTGAATGTGAAAATTAGTAACTCACCTAGAATTTCCTGTTTCTCTTTTTCAAACAATTACTTTTTTCATCAAAGTAATGCATTGTTCATACATAGTTTTAAAAAGTTCCCACTCATACTCTACTATGAATTTCATGGCCAAGTGTCTGAATGTGGCTCATAGTCACACCTTCTGCACAGCCTCTGGAAGACTCCAGCAAAAGTCTCCCTATCTCTGGAAATATTCCCAGTATCTTAGATACTTCTCCTCCCCCTCATGATTTCTTTCTAAAACTTTTAATTTAGATCCTTAGTCTCCTGAATTTATCTATTTCTATATTTCTAATCTTCACTACTTTTTTTTTAAAAAAAAGAAACGAAACCAAACAAAAATAAAACTTTCTCTTTTTAAATCATAGTAAATATATATATAGCAAGACATTTGGCGTTTCAGCAATCTTTGCATGTACATTTTAAAGAGATTCATTTTTCTTCCCCATGTTGGTCACTATATCAGCTCCTAAATTATACCACCATCATTAATTGAAGCTGAATGTCTCCTAAGCATTGAGTACTCCTCCCCTCTTTCCTACCCCCAGTTTGTAAACACTAAAAAATGTATGTTGATCTCTCTGCTTTTGTCTAATTCAGATAATTTGCATTAGTTGTGTCACACAGTATTTTATGACCTATTTATTTCAAGGTTCTTCCATGTTACATGTGTTAGACCTCTAGTTCTCTTTAATAACAAGTAATATATAGTTGTATTTGGACCACATTTTGTTTGTCTGTAATATCTGTTAAAAGACATTCAGGCTATTTCTATGTTTTGGCTTTTGTGAATGGCATGGCAGTGAACATTGATGTGCAGTTGTCTGCTTGCATTCTTGCCTTGAATTCTTTGAGTTAGTTACCTAGAATGAAATTTCTAAATCATGTGGTAATTCTGTATTTAACATTTTTGAGGAGTTACTACACTGTATTCCGCTGTAACTGTGACGTTTTGCTGTCCCGCTAGCAATGAATGAGGGTTCTAGTACCACCACATCTTCATCAATAACTGTTGTTTTCTACTTATTTAAAATAAAAACCATCCTAGTTAATAGGAACCAATGTGGCATTTTTAAAAAATTGGCATTTCCCTAATGACTGAAGAATAAGGGTGACAGACGAAGAATTGATGAAGTGGTAGTATTGGAAAAGAGTACTGACTGTCCTATGACTACCAAGAGAACACACAGATATGTCCTGGGAAAAGTGTAGCCAAGTGCTTGTTGGAGGCAAAAATGGCCAGCTTTGCCTCTCCTGGTTTGGATATGTTGAGAAGAGAGGCTATTCCTTGGAAAGGGACATCATGGCTGGAAAGGTAGGAGAGAAAGCCCTCAGTGAGATGAATAGACACAGTGACACATTCTTCCCAGTGATGAATGAGCTCAAGTGGGTTGGAGATGATGAGGATGGCACAGAATAGGGACAGTGTTTCTTTCTTTTGTTCACAGGCTCACGGTGTGTCGTAGTCAACTAGATGACACCTAACAACAACAACAATGACTAATTAGAGAAATTACATAGCTCTGGTGGCCTTGTAGATAGGGAGTTGTACTGCCAACTCAGAGTCAGGTAGTTTGAATATACAAAGACTTTACAGGATTGAGCAGTCTCCTACCGTGTGGATTCTAGTCTTTGAAAACCTGCTCACCTGAGTTTGTTCTGACTCAATGGCAATGAATTGGGTTGAATTGTCTAATAGTATTAGATGAGTAATGATGTTGAATATATGTTCATGTTTGTTGGTCATGTATAGCTCTTCTTTGGGGAAACGACCCTTCAAGGCTTGTGCTCATTTATGTAAAAAAATTTCTTTTTATTGATTTGCATATAAAATTCATATACATTGTATTTCATACTTTCCTTCATTCACATTGTGCAATACAATCGTTCCCATAGGTTGTATTTTATAAAATTAATCACCATTGAACTATGCCCACCATTTCCTCACTTTTCAGTTCTGCATCGAATCTTTCTCATTTCCTTTACCTTCTCCCTCTACTTATCAAATTGTGCAATGCTACGATTTTCCCCACCCATTCAATTCCTGCCACTCCCACCCCACCCCTCCTTGAACCCCATGCACATTTTGCTAGTTATACTTCTATTTTTTACAGTAATAGTCTTATGAAGTATTTGTCCTTATGAGACTGAAATCGTTTACTCAGCATAATGCTTTCTAGTCCTCCCCCAATTTAGGTAGTATATTTCTAAATTAGTGCTCCTTAGTGTTACGTAGTATTCCATTATGGGAATGTACCACAATTTCTCAATCCATTCAATTGTGGTTGGACATTTAGGTTGTTTCTGTGTTCTTGAAATTGTGAAAAACACTGCTGTGAACATTGGATTTGAATTGTTTAGAATTTTTCAAATGTAAGAGTTCTTTATTCTGGATATGAAACCTTTAGCTAATATGTTATTCTTGGTGAGTACCATTGAGTCAGAATAGACCCATAGCTGACCCTCCAGTAGATTTTCAGAGGCAGTTAATTTCTCAAGAGGAGATTGCCCCTCCTTCTCCCACAGAGCATCTGGTGGATTTGAACTGTGTGCCTTCAGATTTACAGTGCAGGGTCTTCTTCCAATATGTAGATTGTCTCTTTACTTTTCCGATAAACAGAAGTTTTTCATTTTAAAGAGGTTCCATGCATCCATTTTGTCTTTTGGTACCTGTGCTTTAGATATCAAATCTAAGACTCCATAGCTAAAATGAGGCCCCAGTCATTACCTCCATGTTTTCTTCTAAGAGTTTTATGAGTCCTGTTCCTTCATGGATTACGTGATCAATTATTATCATTAACTAGAAAGCTAAAAGCTACAAAGCTTATTGTGTTATGTGTTGGTTTGTTAACTGAAAGGTTAAGTAGTTCAAATCTTCGAGCTACTACATGAGAGAGTAACGAAGCAGTCTGCTCCCATTAAAATATCCAGCCTTAGAAACCTGGTGGAGGGTCACTGTAAGTTTAAATTCTCTCAATGGCAGTGAGATTTTTTAAAATTAATTTTAGTGAAAGTTTACAGAGACTTAGGGTTTCCAGACATTCATTGTTGAACTTTTTTTCCCTACTCACACTCTCCCCCCCAATTCACTCTTCTCCTTGAAAGTAAAGAAAACCTCTTTCATTGTTATGCAGTCCCTCCCCCCAAGTCCACTCCACTGTGCAGCCTTCACTCTGGACTTCTATAATGACAAGAATACCAATTCATATATCCTTTTAAAACAGTTCTCTCCCTCATTTATTTCAATGCAATATACATCATTCCTCCCCTTCTTTTCTGTCTTCCCTCTTCCTGATGTCCGTCTCATTTTACAACAGTGGCCCTATGCAATATTTGTCCTTTTGTGACTGAGTTATTTCACTCAGTATAATCTCCTCCAGGGTAATCCGTTTTGCATAATATTTCATGAGTTCCTTGTTTTTCAATGCTGCATAATATTCCATTCTTTGACTATACCAGAGCTTGTCTATCCATTCATTTGTTGATGGGCATTTGGGTTGTTCCAGCTCTTTGCAATTGTGAACAAGCCACAGTAAAAATGGGTGTGCATATATCTGCTTGGGTGGTGGTTATGGTTTCTTTAGGGTAAATTCCCAGTAGTGGAATTGCTGGGTCAAATGGTATTTCTATTTGCAACTTTTTGAGAAAGCACCAGACAGCCTTCCACAGTGGTTTCACCATTTTATACTGCCACCAACAGTGAAAAAGGGTTACAGTCTGTTCACAACCTCACCAGCATTTGATGTTTGCTGTTCTTTTAAATTTTGCTATTCTTACTGGGGTGAGATGATATCTCATCGTTGTTTGGGGCAGTGAGATTTTGAAGGAAATGTGCACTCTTTTGCTACAAGTCGAATAAAAATGGTTTTGTATTGGACAACTTTTAAATATATGACATTGTTATAATACTACTGGATGGTTTTTTTTAAATGTATGCAGAAAAAAATTTACGTAGCAAATACTAGTTTGAATTCTGATGTAGATTATAAACTTCTTCAGTGTAGAATTTATTACATTATTAGCAGAGTATATTAGAAATGTTTCCATTTTATTACCTTAAACTTCATATACATCCATAAGGAAAGATAATTACTTGTCCCCAACTTTAGGGAGAGTCGGTGTTTTCACATGATCCATCTTGGTTATACAGACTTTTTGAAAATAATAAAGAGTTTAAAAGTGAAGAGCTTTGTAAATTGGGAATAGCTACAAAGCTGTTTGGGGTGAGTGGAATACTAGAATGACAGAAGGAGTTTGCAGAATAATTTTACTTAATTCATGATTGTTTTTGTGTGTGTAGAATAGAGGCTAAAACAAAATGTATCAACAGTTATGACTATTATGTTTCTTAAATTCATCAGGTTAGAACTTTTTAACAAGGTCCTTCTTTCATGTCAGAAGAATGTATCTCTGAAACATAAGATTATTGTAAATGACCTTTATTTGTACAAGGAGTACTAAAATAGAATTTAAATGAATTAGCATAAGAGGCTTACCCCAATAGGAAACAATACAAAACTAAATCAAACTATGTATAATTAATTTTATGACTGGGTGATCTGTTTTAGCTTTTATTTGAATAAATGCTTAACAGTTTAGGTACTTATTTCAATTTCAGTACTGTGACTACACCAT